TTATAAATAAATTTGGACACATGATTTCCTTTCGATCTCTATTATGTAAAATCATATATTTGTCTCCCGTTCGGTGATTCGCAGCATGTCATATTAATGAATGAGAACGGGAACAAAGCTATAAATAGATATGACTTTAACATTGAGAAAGTCCGAAAATCTATTTATAGAAATAGTTTAATTAACTGCTATGGTTATTGAACGAACTGGAGAGTTTTTCAGAATGAAATGCAAACATATTCACCTTTATAACTTATCGATAAAAAAGATAAAGTAAATTAATAGCTCCCCTGATTATTTGAATCGACCCTGGTTTCCCGAATTTTTGCTTTTAGAAGTTGATTCCATTTTGTTTGAAGGCAATCGGTTTTATGGTGGAATGTTGATTTGCCGAATACTGCGACATGTATTTTAACAACAGAAATTTTCGGAATGTAAATACACTGGTGGGTCAGACGAGGATTTTGAAGCAATTCAACAAAATAGTAGATTCATCTCCCAATAAATCAATTAACAATAGCTCTTTATCTATAACCTATGTCAAGTAGCTTTTATATCTTTGACTCGCATAAATATGATGTTAGTGAATTTCCTCATACCCTATGATACCTGTCTAAAATACAGGTAACAGTCTTCCATTGATAAATAATGTTTCAATATATCAACATGCCGTGGCAAATTTATTCATGATTTTAAATGTACCATTATTTTTGTTAACTCGTTTAACAAAAAAATCCTGAATTTGGTCTTTTAGAAATTCATCCCAAATTTTTCATTCCAGTGTGTATTCCAGTATTTATCTGAGACTTAAAATATATATAGTTACTGTATCTTAAGTTCAAGGCATCAAAAGAAATATTTTTCTTAATTTGAATGAAAAAATGCCTGTGTATTACAATATTAGTCTCTTTTGTTACTGTTTTTATATGCTATTTGTATATTTGTTAAAATTATAATAAAAAACAGAATTTGTTCAATTTGTCTACTATTTTCTATGCTCAAAAGAAAATACTGGTACATTTATTATTTTTATTTTTAGCAAGCCGACCAAAGTGCATGATGAACAATGTCTTTCGTCTGCCCATTCATCTATGATATACATGTACAATTCTGTTAAAATCCAATTAACCATTGAAATGTTGAAAAGAATATCTGGTCATCAGATGTCTACTTGTTCATCGTCACTAGCTGCATGTCTTGCTTGGACGCCATTTGATGCTGTGCATCAATGCCTTTTTTGTTTAACATGATATATCATTTGGTGCGAAACATGTAAAGGACATTTTGAAAAATAATGTCGATTTGGCTTATATACATGTGGATTTTAATATTTCCTACACTGATTAGTTGTTGATATTTGTTGAAAGTGAGTAGCATTATAGGTGAAAAAGAAAATGTACATGCTTTTATATTTTTTATTATCTAATATTACAGACTACAGTAGTGACACAAACAGAACAATGTTGAACTACTGCCATGTCACATTACATTTACAACTCATGTTTGTATTGGAATTACTTTCCTTTCCAGGTAGGCATCAGTGAAATATTGTTTTTAAATTTAATATCTGGCCCCTCTGTCATGGACAGTGCATACGATAAGTATAATTATGCAAATTTTAAAATAATTTACAAAACACCCGGAATAAAGTACACTAGTCCTTAATCTAAATAGAACATGACTTGTGCGCAGAAATGATTTGGTAAGGTATCTGTAATGAGCGCATTTTTTTGCGCGGAGCTTCTCGATTGCTGCATTGCAGCAACATTTGTACTTGTTTTTACAATAGGTTTGATCTTAAATTTGGTTTGCTGATCATGATCTTGCAACTACATAATTAGGTAAAGAAGCAGACGCTTGTTTTGGTTGAGTCTATTATGTTTTGTTTAGGGGTGAGTTGTCATACGCAAATTTACAATTTATATGCATTTATTATTTTCCAATGATTTTTATTATTTTAAATACTTCTAAGATTGTTTTATAAATTTATTTGTACATACAATTGTTATATGTCCGATAAACGGCATAATTTTAATGAAAATTAAATTAGTTCACACCTTAATGTGATCACGTGTTTCAGCCAATGACAAAACATCAACATAGTCGAGCAGAGAAAAAGTACAAAATAAATCGTCTTACACAATACAATTTGCAATTAGTAAATAATAATATTTATGTAGCTAACAAACTTTGAATTGCGAGTATTAATTTCATATTATATTTCCGACAAAAGAAACTGTCCGAGGAGGGCCAGGCATTTTCGTATCGTAAGATGGCTGCCATTACAGTATCACGTGATTATCCCAAGCAACGCGTGCATTATAAATATAGCTAACCTGGACGCGTAGATATACCTTTTTAAATTTATTTGTAATAAATATTTACAAACCGTATCTTTTGGGTTTTATTGGATCAATCGATAATAAATAATGATGTTTTGTAAATAAATAATAATTTCTCAAATCTGTGACTATGATTTTCAATGAAATTCTATACCTTTAATATATTTGAATGGTTTTTAATGCTCTGTAAGATAAAAAAAAAAAGAAAGAAAAAAGATCGTGTCCGTGTTAGGTATGTTTTTAATAAGCCGGTGACTAGATTGAAGAGTTCAGAAAACAATACGCGGGAAAAAAACGCGTTTTTTATTGTTTATATTTCTATTTATGTGGGTTTGCAAGATTTTCATATGGTATGTTCAGTGGAAGATGTGTTATTTTGTGTTAATGTTTTAAATCAGAAAATTGGCCATGCATTGTTCTTTTATTGAAATCACTTTCCTCAGCAGAAGGCATAAACTTTAATATTATGATATATTTATAACATTCCATGAAAACATTTAAAATATAAAATATCTGATGACATGTTTGTTCATTTTATATAACACCTTTCATGCAGCAATCATAAAAAGTCTTCACTGAAGTTAGTATGCAATTGTACTATATTACATACGAACGTATGTAATATTTTTCTTGTTTAAGGAAGTAGCCACTATATGCAAGGATAAAGTGTGACTGTCATAAATAAATGAAAATAAATGATTTATTGATGCAAAATTCCGTATGCATTAAACTTAAACTATTATAGTAAAAAATCTAAACGCATTCGCTGCATCTCGGTGCCATTTAAGATGAATTATAGTATATAAAAATAAACTTATACAAGAAAATACATACAGATATACAATAAGATTTAGATTGCAAAGATCAGAAAATACCACAGAGCTTGCAGCCCTTTGTTTTTGTATATACTGGCACTTGATGGACCCCCCCCCCCCCCGTTTTTTTATCAATAAAAATACATGTATGGTAATAAATATAATTTTTTTAATAAAGGCGTTTTGTCAGTAGATTTTTATTGATTAGATATGTGTGCGTGCGCGCGTGTGCGTGTATTATATATAAAATATTTATTAATCACAGCGGTAGTCGGTCACAACGGGTAGTCGATCAAATAACATTTTGCCATCAAGTGGCTATATGTATATAGGCTGTAATTTTATAGAGGATATTTGTTTGTTTGTGTGTAATATGAAATCTTATTTCATCGAATGCATCAGCTTTAAAAACAGTATTTTCACGAGTGGCGTAGACATGAGTGACAATACTGTTTTTAAAGTTCATGAGATGTAATAAAGTTACATCTTACACAACAAAGAAACAAATATTCTTTTTATTTTATGCTTACAAACAAGTTAAAACGAAATTTCCTTGATATGAACTTTAATATTAAAATCTGTTCTCCCCACTGGTAGCCTCTATTATGTACATGTATTAGTCGAATTTCTCATAAAATACAAGAAGTCTTCGGCTGAAAAATAAGTTCGATATGAACTTTAATATTAAAATCCGTTTTCCTCACTGGTAACCTCTATTATGTACATGTATTAATCGAATTTCTCATAAAATACAAGAAGTCTTGGGCTGAAAAATAAGTTCGATAATCAACGTGATATTATCTATTTATTAAAAAAAATATGAATGATCGCTTGTTTTAATAATAAAAACAAACAATTCTAGTGGGAGAAAAAGTCCAACCATCCATCCATATTTCTGTTACTTACTGCGAATTTATATTAGACCTGGCTCTGTTAAATGTAAGCGGCCGCCATTTTTAAAAGTTGTGTATTTCACGGGAGTAAAATAATTGTGTTTGAATCAGAGAAATATCATTTGGATTTGTTAGTCATACACCTTTTTAAAAGAAAGAACACTTATTTGAGGATTGTAACAAACAATATATAAGTGTTGACAGATGTGTAAACATTCATAAAACGGCTAGGAAATTGGAAACTTGGATTTGTTGAAAGGCTGCCTTATGAACGCTGGGTTATTTACTTATTCTTCGGGCTGATGGCTGTCATTGCTTTTCAAGTTTTCAAAACATACGGCAGTTATTGCTCGTTAGATACTTAAATATGCCCAAATGTCATCAAGAACAGTTTTGCATGTGGAAGGAATGTATTTTCAGACTGTAAAAATGAAACAAAACAATTAAGAGACGATATTTGGTGATTGATAATTTGGATGAATAGAAGTAAGTTTTCTTCTTTTTATTACTTTTGACATATAAGTTCTTTATCAATTTCAGCTTTGCTTTTCTCTAAACAGCCTAAAATGGCCGCAATTGTCAGCAAAAATAGAATTGAGGTAATACATGGGGAAAATCTTTAAAAAGTAGTTTTGTCATTGAAAAGTGTGAAATTATATTTTGATAATTTTCACTGTGAAATTATCAAATATAATTTTCACGGATAAATCAGTAATCCACTGAAAAGCATAAAACAAAAGTATAATTATAGAAAATCCAGTAAAGCTTAGACTCAATTGAGCATTTACATAATTTTACAGGTTCTGTTTTACCAAAGACAGCAGATAAAACCAACATTTTGAGATTCAACATTAAAAAAAATTTATTACAATAAATAAATAATACAAAAGACATTTAAGAAATCAGTAATAATGAAAACATATGCTGCATTTCAAAGAGGAAATTAAGTATCTTGCTATTCGTTATTTTTCAGGCATCTCTATATTTCATTTACGTTGGCGGAGATTAAACTGTCAGTAAATCTAACTTCATTTTAAAGGAACTAATAATACAATACGAACAACATACATGTATCTTCTCTTGTTTTATACAATTCTGCACTGAAGATGAATTCACAAATTATGTGTATGTACAGATACCTTACAGATAACACATGTATATAATTATAGTTATATATAATCACAATTATTCTGCATTACTCTGGAACTGCTGTGTCTCCTTGCTCGAGCTCGGGACCTTGGTACGGTGGTGGCGGCTCTACTGGAACTTCTGCGGCAGAATGAAAAAATGAATTGATACCATGTTTAAATTTATGTCAAAAGAAATACCATTCAAGTGAAAGATACGTTTGCACAAAGGTGACATGTGTGTGTTTTTATTTATCTCGGGCGCACGAGATGCTATGTCGCGGCCTCGAGTTACTAAGTCGTGGCCACGAGATAGCTAAGTCGTGGCCACGAGATACTATGTCGTGGTCACGTATACATACATACATACATACATACATCTCATTGGCATTTCCAGATATTACTATTTAACACAGAGTTATGGCTCTGTTATTATGGCTCTGTTATTGCCCTGCATATTTATCAAGTTCAAAGAATATTACTGTTTATGACATGATAAATATATAAATAAAGCCTTATGTCTTCAGTTGTTGTGTTAATAATAACCAGTACTCGGCGGTGGTATAAATTCAACGAATTTGCTTGTTTTATTTGGAAGGGACATTGCCCATGGACAGTAGATAGCCTATAAGGTAAAAGGTATAAGGTAAAATATCCTTGTCTGATGAATAATTTAGAAGGAATAAGCCATGGTTTATATAACCCAGAAAGATCATTACGCCTGATCAGTAGATGACATCTAATAATTTCGAGGTCATTGGGTCAAAATTCAGGGTCTCAGTGACTCTAAATGTAAAATTATTGACCAGTCAATAAGTTGTATAAATGGCACTTTTACAGGATGGTGAAGTAGGGGCATCCTTGTACTTATAGCACATGTCTAGTTAATAAGGGAAATTCATATAAATAGTGTATTTTGATTGGTTAATTATCTCGCGCGCACGACTTAGTTATCTCGTTTCCACGACTTAGTAACTCGTGGCCACGACATAGTATCTCGTGGCCACAACTTAGCTATCTCGTGGCCACGACTTAATAACTCGTGGCCACGACATATTATCTCGTGGCCACGACTTAGCTATCTCGTGGCCACGACTTAGCTAACTCGTGGCCAGAAGATACTATGTCGTGGCCACGAGTTACTAAGTATACACTTTATATATTATGAATTTTTTAAACTGAACAACTTACTTTTACATTCAACATTAATCTTTGAAAATACTCAAGATATTCACTTTGAACTTGTCTTTAGAATCATATTAGAAATCACCTTCCAAGGCCCTTAAGACATTAATTTTGACTATAGCCTTTTGTTGGGACAATTTTGTGGTCGAATCGGTCAGTTTGTACGTACTACGGTCTGTTAACCTTGTTTATACGATAACATGAGAAGGAATAAGTCCTGGTTAATTATCCCCCGCCGATGAAATCGGTAGAAGGATATAGTTTTGGCGTTGTCCGTCCGTCCGTCCTTCCGCACTCACAGGACAGTAATTATGTGGCTAGAGGGACAATAGGTAACTGTTCTTTCTCTTTGATGTCATTCATTCCGTAATGCTTTTATGTGGCTATTTTCTTTTGTGTGGCTTAAAAGAACAATAGAGAGAACAACAGATTAGGCACATAATTACTGTCCTGTGAGAACGTCCGTCCGTCCGTCAGTCCGTCCTTCCGTCCGTCCGTCCACCCGTCCAAATTTCTCTGCAACTGGAATTCAAGAGAAGATGCGCATATCGTCGGCTTGTTCCAGTCAGACCCTTTAAACTCAGAGTTATGGCCCTTGATTAATTATGCAGTATGCATATAGAGTAAAAATCGTTTCCGCGCTACTTCTCTGCAACTACTGGCTGGAATTCAACGAAACTTTATCGGAACCTTCAATACCAAGAGGACATGCGCATATCGTCGCCTTGTTCCGGTCAGACACTTTAACATGGAGTTATTGTCCTTGATTAGTTATGCAGTATGCATATAGAGCAAAAATCATTTCCGCGCTACTTCTTTGCAACTACTGGCTGGAATTCAACAAAACTTTATGGGAACCTTACATGCGCATATCGTCGCCTTGTTCGGGTCAGATACTTTAACTTTGGCTCTTGATAAGTTAATTTTGCAGTATGCATATAAAGCAAAATCGTTTCCGCGCTACTTCTCTGCAACTACTGGCTGGAATTCAACAAAACTTTACGGGAACCTTCAATACCAAGAGAAGATGCGCATATCATTGCCTTGTTGGGGTCAGACATTTTAACTCAGAGTTATGGCCCTTGATTAGTTATGCAGTATGCATATAGAAAAGTATTCGTTTCTGCGCTACTTCTCTGCTACTAATGGCTGGAATTCAATGGAACTTCATTGGAACCTTCAATACCAAGAGGAGATGGGCATATCGTCGCCTTGTTCGGGACAGACATTTTAACTTACAGTTATGGCCCTTGATACTTATGCAGTATACAACCAGAGCAATAATCGTTTCCGTGCTACTTCCCTGTAACTACTGGCTGGAATTCAATGAAACTTTAATGTGCATATAGTCGCCTTGTTTCGGTCAGACACTTATAACTTAGTTTATGGCCCTTGATTAGTTAGGCAGTATACATACATCTCATTGGCATTTCCAGATATTACTATTTAACACAGAGTTATGGCTCTGTTATTGCCCTGAATATTTATCAAGTTCAAAGAATATTACTGTTTATGCCATGATAAATATATAAATAAAGCCTTATGTCTTCAGTTGTTGTGTTAGTAATAACCAGTACTCGGCAGGGGATATAAATTCAACGAATTTGCTTGTTTTATTTGGAAGGGACATTGCCCATGGACAGTAGATAGCCTATAAGGTAAAAGGTATAAGGTAAAATATCCTTGTCTGATGAATAATTTAGAAGAGATAAGCCATGGTTTATATAACCCAGAAAGATCATTACGCCTGATCAGTAGATGGCATCTAATAATTTCGAGGTCATTGGGTCAAAAATCAGGGTCACAGTGACGCTAAATATAAAATTATTGACCAGTCAATAAGTTGTATAAATGGCACTTTTACAGGCTGGTGAAGTAGGGGCATCCTTGTACTATAGCACATGTCTAGTTAAATAGGGAAATTCATATAAATAGTGTATTTTGATTGGTTAATTATCTCGCGCGCACGACTCAGTTATCTCGTTTCCACGACTTAGTAACTCGTGTCCACGACATAGTATCTCGTGGCCACGACTTAGTAACTCGTGGCCACGACATAGTATCTCGTGGCAACGACTTAGCTATCTCGTGGTCACGACTTAGTAACTCGTGGCCACGACTTAGTAACTCGTGACCACGATAAGTATCTCGTGGCCACGACTTAGCTATCGCGTGGCCACGACTTAGTAACTCGTGGCCACGACATAGTATCTCGTGGCAACGACTTAGCTATCTCGTGGCCACGACTTAGTAACTCGTGGCCACGACATAGGATATCGTGGCCACGACTTAGCTATCTCGTGGCCACGACTTAGTAACTCGTGGCCACGACTTAGTTACTCGTGACCACGATAAGTATCTCGTGGCCACGACTTAGCTATCTCGTGGCCACGACTTAGTAACTCGTGGCCACGACATAGTATCTCGTGGCCGCGAGATAAACAAAAACACACACATGCCACCTTTGTGCCACCGTAGAAAGAAAAAAATTAATTATATCGAAAATAGAAAAGAGTACATTTCTGTTTAACTAAATTCCATTGTTTAAAGATAAAAGGAAAATTTATATATTTATTCCAAGTTTGATACATATAATTTTATTTATAAATTCGATTTGATACCTCCTTGCAAAGGATATCCCTCTAAGTTCTGTGTTTGCTCCAATCTTGCTTTATAATGTAAGTTATACAGCGCACGTGACAAAAGAACAGACGACAAAATTAGTAGCAGAAGTATGCCAAATATCCCGCCTATTACAATTATCACAGTTAATGCAGTTCCAGAAACCACGCCCGGTTTACCTGTAGATGTAAACACAAAAATTGTGTGCCTTATTTTTTATCACAAAAATATGGTGGCTGATTCGGAACACTTTTGTGTGTCATGTTGTCGCTAGCGAAAGGACGACAAAGCGCCAAACAACGCGTTGTCGGACTTTCGTCTTGTTGTCCTGTCGCTAACGATGCACGCCAAGTGGCGCGCTGTCGTGCGGCGTGTTGTCGCGATGTCACATTGTCGCTCGGCTCAAATCGAAGGATAGGCTTAACGTTTGGCGTGCTTTTCTAGAGACAGGACGACAAGACGACAGTGCGACAAAGTGCTGTTCGGCGTGTTTCGCTCGCGACAAACGACAAGACCATACAAAAATGCAAAAGTTTGAATAATATATATACAACATGTAAAAGGTTATAACCCAGACCAGTAATTTGAAGTTAAAAAAATTGTTCTATTACAATTACTATATAGGTTAATTAATCAATTTATTAATCTTTATTTTCTCCAATACTGAGGAGTTATATGTTATAATGCTAAGATTATTCTATATCTACAAAGATAGAATATAATTTATAACGTAACAGAAACATAATTAACCAATATACTAGTATGATGACTAATAAAGCATTAACCTCTTAAGCAAATGACATGATAATTTAGAAAAGAATCTTACTTGTGCCATAAATCCTCAGTTCAGCATATCCAAATCCGTCTTTGTGCAGATCTTTCTTCCGTTGAAAAATTATTTGCAGGGTTGATTTAGAGGAACAGAAGTCTGCCGAATGTTTAGTGTCACACCTGTAAGTCTACAATAATGGTCTTATGTCAAGTAAAAGCTTTAGTTTTATTTTAAGGTATCAATAAAAAGAACATATACAATTAAATTTGAAAAATGAATATAATAGAAAAATTTTCTTCTATGGTAGACACATTACCATAAATATATTATAAAATATGGATTATTGAATAATCAGACTATATATTTAGCAATTCCGTGTTAGAAAGAGGATAAAGGTGACCCACAATTACCTAATGCAATAACGTACTCTAAACACAAACAGGAGATAAGGTAATTCATGTACATGTATCACCATTATTACTAAATGGCTATACGAGTTCAGCTTAAGAAGCAGAAACCTTAAAAGAACACCACAGGGGTCGAAAAGGCTAAAACTTAAAATTTGAATATCTAACAAAGATCAGTTCGGGAACTTAAAACAATATGGTATGCAACGGTTCATTAACAAATATGATCAGAAATAAGTTGAAAATCGTATTTTTATGCTATTCTTAGCCCGGTTTGAGTGAAAAGCGTTGCAACGCTTTTCAATTTTGGGTCTTTTTTACAATAAGTTGTTATTCTGGAAAAAAAAACGGAGTGAGTCAATGGTCTGATTTTTGCACACAAGCTATTGGTGTAGACCTACATCAAATGGGAAATTAATCTCGAGTCATGTCATGTCAAAAACCTTAGTACGTGTAGTCCCTTTAAAGTAGCACAATGACGATTTCATTGGAAAGGCGGCTGATGTAAATGTATAGTACAATCATTATATATTACGAGTGTTTACATAACCATGATAATCTTTACACGGCATTATGAGGAAATAGCATCTAAAAGGAGAAATGTGTTGTGTTTGGTTTTGAGAAAATAACTTAAGAGTAAGGAAATCAAACATTTCTATTTGCATGTGATACAATAGAAAAATGTTCGCTTCGGAAAAAGAATTAATCAAATACAGATACGTGTATTTATATATAATATTCGTGTCAAACAAAATTGAAAGAATAGCGTACGCTTGTTTAGGATAAAATTGGTCACGAATACACAAAATCAATCATTAACCTGACGAAAGAGCAGTTGAATGTTAGAAAACATTTAACTATGTTTCATATATACTGTATACATGTCTATGACTCGTGTGCAGTTATGAACTCTCCTGATAACTAGTAATATGATATTGATATCGATGAGAAGGCACAACTGTTGAGCTTCTTATATTATTATTTGTTGAATTTCTTGTTATATGCAATCTTTCACGTATATCATTTTAAATCAATATTTAAAATGTATAAGCATCAACTATATTTTGGTACGACTTATGCATGCAAGCAATAAATGGAAAATTTAAAATTTTGTTATTTGAAATCCTTAAATCCAAGCTATTTCCATTCCGTGAAAGACATTACTTTGAATGTATATAACATACCTTTTTCTCAACGGACTTGATACTTTCTGCAAGAATAATGTCAGTTTCACAATCAAGATAATATTCCACAAAACTGACGCACACTTTGTCCTGTGCTGAAATAGTAACAACACAATTGCGTTCCATCAAATGATCAGCACTGTAACTAAATCGTAGTTCCGTATCTTTTAGGATATAAGGCAAGCGGTTACATGAATGCTCAACTGGTATAGACCGATCTGAAATGTATAATTATCATTATTTATTATGTTTAGAAGTCGTATTTCTGCGTATTAAAATACATGTATGAAATATTTATCTGATATAAAAAGAAACATACGTTACCCTCTTTAATCTTAGACATCTTTAACAGCAGTATTGCTACGTTAAATATCCAGTAATTTCATATCAGAAAAGTTTATATTGTACATTTAGAAAGAAACATATAATTTCACCAGTTTTATTTATGTGAAGACAGGTATTATGATTAAGTTAAGAAATAAAAGTTATGTACCATCCATTTCCCTCTGAATAACTTACCCTGCTGGAACTTAAAGTGATAAGTATTTACTATCAGTATAAACCAGACCAGCGTGCTGACTAGTACGAAAGACCGATTTATTTTCTTGAATCCACGATTTCAACTTCATAAATTCACGATTTAAACTTCAAGAAGTCATGATTTCAACTTCATTAATTCATTATTTCAATTTCACAAATTCACGATTTCAACTTAACGAATTCGCGTTTTGAAGTATTAAAGTTTTGGATTTCAACTTCGTGTATTCAGGGTTTTTTATTTCGTGAAGTTCGAAATATGAATTCATCAAGTAGAATTTATGAAGTTAATATCGTGAATTAGTGAAGTTGAAATCGTAGTTCAAAACATTAGTTCATGAAGTTTATGAAGGTGAAATCATGAATTTGTGAAAATGAAATGATGAATTCGTGAAGTTGAAATCGTGAAATCGCGAAGTTGTAATCGTGAATTCATGAAGTTGAAATCATGAATATGTGAAGTTGAAATCGTGTATTCATGAAGTTGAAATCGTGAATTCGTGAGGTTAAAATCGATAATTCATAAATTTGAAATCGTGAATTCGTGAATTACGTATGTTGAAAACGTGACTTCACAAAGTTAAAATTGTGAATTCACGAAGATGAAACTGGGAAAACATAAAGTTGAAATGTCCCCATCGGTCTTTTGTAGACCAGGCGCTATTCTGTTGGCTGACTAATATTGGTGAAAAAGGCGTTAAAAGGCGTGTATATCGAGTTTTATAGCAATTTGAACTTGTAACGGGAGACTTTTCAATGAAAATAGCCATTTTTCACAAAATGCTCATGAAGTAATGGGTTTGAAATTTTTTTTAAAAATCTACCAAACAACAATTTTTCTTCAAATTTATATCATGTATATGTTAGGCCATGTTTAAACATAGAAAAACGCGATTTTTGGTAATTTCAAGTATTTTCATCATTTTCTGTTAATGAAAAAATATAAAAATCTACAAAACAACAATTTTTCTTCAAATTTATATGTAAGGCCATGTTTAAACATGGAAAACGCGATTTTGGGTAATTTCAAGTATTTTCATCATTTTCTGGAAAAAAAAATCTACAAAACAACAATTTTTCTTCAAATTTATATGTTAGGCCATGTTTAAACATGGAAAACGCGAATTTGGGTAATTTCAAGTATTTTCATCATTTTCTGTTAATGAAAAAAATTAAAAAATCTACAAAACAACACTTTTTCTTCAAATTTATATGTAAGGCCATGTTTAAACATGGAAAACGCGATTTTGGGTAATTTCGAGTATTTTCATCATTTTCTGTTAACCCATTACGCGATATACACGCTTTTAACGCCTTTTTCACCCCACCCTTTTTCGTTATCTCAAATGGTGAAAAAATGACTTATTTAGCCCCCCAACACTTGTTTTTGTTTGAGAAATGTTGTTAAAAAAGTGACCACTTTTTCGGCGCGGCCCCCAACGAAAAGATACATCAGGGGGTTGCCAGAAGGGGGATGTGCCCCCTTCTGTTTGGGGGGGGGGGGTCCCCCTCAAAATTTTGGATTTGTGAGAGGCTAAAAATGATATCGATCATAAGGTAACGTGTACGCTGAAAAGCAGTTGACTCTATCTCAATCCATTAAGAAGTTGCAACACTTTGAACTCAATTTTGATGGAAAAAATCAATGCAAAATAGTGATTTTTGGCAATATTGAGATGTCCCCTCGTTGCCATGGTAAGAGGAAATCTATGCCGGAGCATGTTGTCGCAAAGGCAATGGTCCAGTCAACACTTGTGCCAAGTTTGATTAGTATTGAAGAAGTTTTTATAGTTTTATAGCAATTTGAACTTATCACGGGAGACTTTTCAATGAAAATAGCCATTTTTCACGAAATACTCATGAAGTAATGGGTTAAACTATTTACATGTAGATAATAAACAGCTTGATCATTTTATTTCAAATCTTGCAGTTTAATGTTATTGAATCAATCTGAAAAGAAGTTCGTGATAATTCCCCACCTGTTATTGGTCCAGTGGCGACTTTAGGCAACAGAATCAACCATACCACGATAGTTATGATTGGACATCTTTTGTACAACATTCTGCCAAAATAACAATATTTTTCTTTGGTTTGAAATGATTAGGCTAGGAACATACTTCCTACATCAAAATTATCCTTTCAAAATTTTAGAGAAAAATATTATTCAAGCATTTATCTTGATAAAGTTTGTAGTAAGTAAACGTTGTATTATAAAGTATTGTAAATACATGTACTCGTATATTCATGAAGGTATAGTTCAGAAAAAACATTTACTAATAAATTATTCTTGCTATTCTTATATTATATTATATCATAACATAACTAAGGTACCAATATAGCCCACTTGATACGGTTTGGGGGTTAAAGGAGTACAGGGAATAATGAAATTTTAAAAGAATTTTGATTATTATGGAAAGTAGAACCATCTATGATTGATATGGATTTATCATTTGATTTTATCACAGAAACACGATCTTTATCTTAAGTTTACTCCGCAGGAATTTGACACTGCGCTAAAACTATATGAAATACATATGCTTAATACAAAATACTTCGCATATATTTTGAAATTAAACTTACCTGAAATGTTTTATTAAATATTCATGCATCGTTCAGGAAAACTATGACTATAACATCCTGACACATATATTTTTGAATGAAATAAGATAGTTTTCATAACCAATACACCTCAATGTTTGTTCTTAAAATTCTTAAACAGCCAAATATTTATCTTAATTATTTTTGCGTAATTTCGACTTTACAACAAATCATTGTTTTAAACATAAGTCATTATTTTAAATACAGGCACAGCATAGCCCTTGATAAATAAAGATTAGTCATTTTAATTATATCTATTCTTTTATTTCATTATCTAATCTAAGAAAAAGATCTAAAAATCTATCTAAAGCAAAGATAAATCTTTGATGTGCAGCCATGATAACTATTCCATTATAACATGTAAACATAGAGGTTTATAATGTATACATACGGCAAAATATAAATGTTAAATAAAATGTCAATTTTATATACATGAACAGTGATGATTTTCAACTTTAAAAAGTTCGTTCGTTATTTTGACATTTATGGTTGTTTGATAAGCTGGGTGTTTTTCCGAGGGAGTTACAAAGATAAAAAAGGTATATTCAAGTAGTTAATATTGTATCTCTGAAACAAAAATATATCTCGGTCGAATAATTTGATCAATAAACAACAACAAAAAAATGTTTGTAGAGATGTGCTACGAAAATGACTTTGTTCATGTTGTTTGAGGCATTGCGGTTTCACAGGCGAAGACAGCGTTTTCATTGAATGACAAAGTTGGACACTAAATACTGGTAAGTCTATATAAGAAAGTCTCGTTAACCAAGTTACTCCTAGGACGGGGCTTAACTAATTTAGTGTCCAACTTTATTTGTCATCCAATGAAAACGTTGTATTGCGTTAATTTTCATAGAAGAACGAAAGTCGATACTATATCGAATTACATTGTACGTTCATAGTCAACTTCTATTCTTCATAGTACTTCATTGAACCGCAAAGTGACGTACTAAAGTGAATAATAATGAGGCCAAATAAAGCTTGACACTAAGTATGTTAGTATTCCTCCGTAGATGTAGCATTCTCCTTTCGCTATCGCTCCCCTCTAAATTTATAATTTCTTTAGAATAACACGGATAAACACTAACATATACTTAACCCCAGGTGCATGATTTATAAAACTTTGTAGAAGACCAAAATACCGCGTCATGCCGAATATCTAAGCTCTAGGCATAAAAATATCTAGGGATAATTTTTAAGACTTCAATTTTATGTCTATTATAGCTTATGTGACATCTATCGGAATGAAATTATTTAGAGAGGTTCCAAGGAAAAGTTTGGTCAAATTTCCACCATGTATATGTTAGTGTTCATCCGTGCTGTTCTACAGAAATAAGAAACTTCGACGGGAGCGATAGCGACAGGAGAATGCTTGTAATTTCCCTGAATAGCTACGGATGAATACTAACATACTTAGTGTCAAGCTATATTTGGCCTCGTTATTATTCAATTTATTACGTTACTATGCGGTTCTATGAAGTACTATGAAAAATTGAAGTTGACTATGAAAAGAATTCGATAAAGTATCGACTTTTGTTCTTCTATGACAATTAACGCGCAGAATTTTTAAGGAATACAACATTTTCATTGGATGACAAATAAAGCTGCACACTAAAATTATGTTAGTGTTCATCCGTGCTGTTCTACAGAAATTAGAAACTTCGACGGGAGCGATAGCGACAGTAGAATGTTTCTTATTTCTATAGAACAGCTACGGATAAAAACTAACATACTTTGTGTCAAACTTTATTTGGCCTCATTATTATCCACTTTATTACGTCACTACGCGGTTCAATGAAGTACTATGAAAAATAGGTGACTATGAACGGAATTCGATATAGAATCTAGTAACGACTTTTGTTCTTCTATGAAAATTAACGCACAGAATTTTTAATAAATACAGCGTTTTCATTGGATGACAAATAAAGTTGGACACTAAGTGGTTTAGGAAGTTATGATGTTCATAAATAATAAAAGCAAACATATCATAACGAAAGAACACTAATAAAAACTACTGTTATCACGATATCTTTTCTATAAATTCACATTTAGTATCAAGTGGTTCCAAAGGTCTATGCTCATGTCACTTTAAATTCATTCCAATTTAACATTTTTTAGATGATCACAAGGTGATTCTACATGTCAAATATCTATTAGCTTGGAATGGTAGTGTCGGAAAAAGAGTTTTAAGGCGTTAACTATTATTGTCTATATAACTACATATATATTTCTCAAAGAGCGGGGTCATTTTCATCCCAAATGACAAGCTTTATTTAACTTTTGAGAGGTTCACTAGGAAATACCACATGCTAAATATAAAACCTATAACCACTGTAGTTTCACACAAGGCAACTTAAATAGGACTTCCTATATAAGTCTATATGAACTAAGTGACTTCCAGGGCTCAAAGAGCAGGATTGATAAACCTTTTGTAAAACGCTACAATGTGATGCTATATGCCAAATATATTTGCTATGAAAATTGTAGTTTCAAAGAAGCTTACAGGACATGTTACCTATATGTATATACATGTACTTAGTTATTCCAAAGGCGGAGTTAGTTTTGACTGTATGGTCAAGATTTATTAAATTATTGTAGATGTCCGCTATGTAATGTTTTATCTAAAAACTAGGCATTGTAGTTGCACAAAGGAAGAATCATTCAATGTATTTTCTTCAAGTCTATATAAACTAAGAGACATTCAGAGCAGTGCCAACGTTGACCCTTCGGGACATTATATCTTGGTTCTGCGCTTTGTAATTTCTGAGATGATTTTTAAAGATTTCATACTTTGAAGTATATTTTCATCATCTGTGATTACAAATTTGTCCTGAAGTATTAACTTTTTGTAGCAGATAACCTAAGATTAATGTGAAGTTTGGTCAAAATCCATCTTGTGGTTCAGGTGAGTAAAGAAATAACTGGCCAATAATTTACAGACTGAATGACACACTATCAAAACATGATAGAAAAATATTAAAAAAACAACAGTTCTATGGTGGTTATATTTATTCATGCATATATTTTAAAAAATACAAGTCTACAGTATATGTTGTAAAACAAGAGAATCAAAATCCGAATGTAAAGCACCAGAGCTAAACAAGAGGGCCATGATGGCCCTGAAGTCGCTCACCTGTATATAGGCCCCCGGAGCGTGGCCAGTTTAAACCCCAGGGCTTTTATTTGAACAAACTTGGTAGACACCCATTAGAAGATGTTTCATGCAAAACATCTAAGTTCTAGCTCGTTGGGTTTTTTAAAAGAAGAATTTTCAAGATTTTTCTTTAAACATATATTTAAAAACAATGACACCCCTGGGGCAGGGCCAGTTTTGACCCCAAGGCTTTTATTTGAACAATCTTTGTAGACACTTACTAGAAGATGTTTCATGCTTAATATCTAAACTCTAGTTATTTGGGTTTTTTCGAAGAAGATTTTTTTAAGTTTTTGCTTTACACATATAAGGAAAATCAATGTCCTCCGGGGTGGGTCAAATTTTAACCCCAGGGCTCTTATTTGAACAAACTTGGTAGACATCCATTACAACATGTTGCATGCTAAATATCGTAGCTCTAGCTCTTTGGGTTCTTTAAAAGAAGATTTTTAAGTTTTTACTATATTTATATAGGGAAAATCAATGACCCCTGGGGCGGGGCCAATTTTGACCCCAGGGCTCTTATTTGAACAAACTTGGAAGACATCCATTAGAACATGTTTCATGCTAAATATCTTAGCTCTAGATCTTTGGGTTCTTTGAAAGAAGATTTTTAAGTTTTTACTATATGCATATAGGAAAAATCAATGACCCCCTGGGGCGGGGCCAATTTTGACCCCAGGGATTTTATTTGAACAAACTTGGTAGACACCCATTTAAGGATGTTTCATGCTAAATATCTTAGCTCTAGCTCTTTGGGTTCTTTAAAAGAAGAATTTTAAAGTTTTTACTATATACAAATAGGGAAAATCAATGACCCCCTGGGGCGGGGCCATTTTTGACCCCAGGGCTTTTATTTGAACAAACTTGGTAGACACTCACTAGAAGATGTTTCATGCCAAATATCTGAGCTCTAGCTCTTTGGGTTCTTTAGAAGAAGATATTTAAAGTTTTTTCGTTGGTTGCCATGGCAACCAGAGTTCTGCATGGAATTAAATTCTTTGAACAATTTTCAAAGGTGACTACCAAAGGAACATTCCTGTGAAGTTTGGATGAAATTGGCTCAGCGGTTTATGAGGAGATGTCATTTAAAGTAAAAGTTTACGGACGACGGACGGACTATGGATGGACGGACGCCGGACGAAAAGCGATCACAAAAGCTCACCCTGTCACAAAGTGACAGGTGATCTAACAAGAGCTGTCACAGGAGACAGCCAAGCTCGACTAATAAAATACTGGACGCAGTAAGGAGGACAAAACTATGAAAGAAAAATCAATTATGTATTAATATGTATTAAGTTATAGTAAAAAAATAACATTTGTTAACATAAATTCCAAGATCAAGGGAAATAATTCTAGAAATAGTCACGCTAGAGTTATGAACCTTGTCACACAACATGTGTGTTATGATAAGAAATATATATTTGAAGTTATAGGTAGATACCTTAAAAAGTAAAGAAGTTATAATATTTCTTAAAGAAAATCCTAAGTTCAAAGAGAGATAAATCTGTGAAAATTGCTTCAAAAGTTATGAACATTGTCACATAAAATGTAATTGATGATAAGGAATAAGTATTTGAAGTTTGAAGTAGATACCTTTAAAACTAAAAAAGTTATAGTAAAAAATAACATTTTTCTAGTAAAAAAATCTAAGTTTATGGGGAGATAATTCTTGCAATATTGGTGCTAGAGTTATGAACCTTGTCACATAAGATATGGATGATGATAAGGTAGATGTATTTGAAGTATGAAGTTGATCCCTTTAGAAATAAATAAGTTACAGTAAAAAATAATATTTTTTAAAGGAAAATTCTAAGTTCAAGGGGAGATAAATCTGAAATTATTTGTGCTAGAGTTACGAACCTTGTCACATAAGATGGGGATGATGATAAGGTACATATATTAGAAGTATGAGGGTGATCCCTTAAGAAATAAAGAAGAAAAAGTAAAAAATATTATTTTTAAGGAAAATTCTAAGTTCAAGGGGAGATAAATCTTAAAAATATTGGTGCTAGAGTTATGAACCTTGTCACATAAGATGGGGATGATGATAAGGTACATTTATTTGAAGTATGAGGTTGATCCCTTAAGAAATAAAGAAGTTACAGTAAAAAATAGTATTTTTTAAGGAAAATTCTAAGTTCAAGGGGAGATAAATCTGAAAATATTGATGCTAGAGTTATGAACCTTGTCACATAAGATGTGGTTGATGATAAGGAAC